ATCTATTATAGTCAGTTAACCCTTGGAGCATTTTCCATGTGCTGTTGTTTTTAATACACCAAAGTAAGGGATTTCTACTTTCATGCATTTAAGAGGGTATCTCACTCATCTGAAACATAGTGTTTAAACAGTATTTTCTCATATTTCCAGATTATTCATACACTTGTAAAGAAATAGGAAAAAAATAATATAGAAAACTACAGAACTGAGTATTGAAGAATCATACAAAATTTTGATGATAAAACAACATACCTAACAAAAATTTTGGAATAGTTTCATTTAAAGAAAATCCATATTACCTATTATGAAGTATTCATTACAGACAATAAATTAAAAGCACCTCCTCCATAATTCTACCTCCAAGAAATATCTAACCATTATTAAGTTTACTGTCTTCCACACTACTTTTTCTGCATGTTTACACTAATATTTGTTGTGTATATATTTTTTATGAATTTTAAAAACAAAGTAAGATTTTTACACGTACTTAACATAACTCAAAAAGAATTACTGGCTAGGCACGTTGGTTCACACCTATAGTCCCAGCACTTTGGGAAGCCAAGACAAGAGGATGGCTTCAGGCCGGGAGTTAGAGACTGGCCTAGGCAATATGGCAAGACCTTGTCTTTACTGGAAAAAAATAAAATTAGTGAGGCACAGTGGCATGCACCTGTATTCCCAGCTACTTGGGAAGCTGAGGTGGGAGGATCTTTTGAGCCCAGGAACTCAAGGCTGCAATGAGCTATGATTGTACCACTGCATTCCAGTCTGAGTGACAGAACAAGACCCTGTGTAAAACATTTTTTAACAATTATTTTAAAACGTTTTAAAACAAGGTAGTATTTCTTAGAAACTAGCTAAAATTTTACATTTATTGACGGTAGAGCAAAGATGCTTTCCTGTACAATAACTGCTCAACCAGGTAATTAATTTGTCCCTTTCATCATTAACCTAGTTATGCATATGCCATCCTTACAACAATGGATACTGGAAAGACATTTGGGTTCTAGGGTCAGAGAGGCCTGAAACAGAATCCAATTCATGGTTTTACTAATTCTTGGCCAAGTTATTTAACTGTGCTTTAGACTTCTTTAGGAAAAAAAGATAGCTAGTGTGATCAAATTCATACAATTGTGATATGTATCTAGTATGATCAAACTCATACAATTGTGATATGTATGACAATGCTTGCTTGGCATACAGTAATCACTATTATGAACAGTTACAGTTGACCACATGCTTTAATTTGATATTTAATGAGGATTCTTGGCTATCATTTTTTCCCCATGTGTGAAACTAATCCCCTTGGTATACTTAAGCCTGGGATGGAAATTCTAATCCCTACATCCATACTTAAGTGAACAATACAGACATGTACCTGGCCTTTAAAAATATGCACACTCAGTAACTCTACTTCTAGGAATTTACTTGAAGGATCAAAAATTTAATTACAAAGGTACTTATTGAAACACTGTTTACAAAGTATCATAAACAACCTAAATATCTAATAGGGTATGGTTTAAATGATCATGATTATATAAACACTGAAACTGATAGTATAGAAATATGCTTGCTTTACATAGAAAAAGGTTACTAAACAGGCCAGGCATGCGGTGGCTCACGTCTGTAATCCCAGCACTTTGGGAGGCTGAGGCGGGCTGATCACCTAAGGTCAGGAGTTCGAGACTAGCCTGGACAACATGGTGAAATCCTGTCTCTACTAAAAATACAACAATTGGCCGGGTATAGTGGTGGGTGCTTGTAGTCCCAGCTACTTGGGAGGTTGAGGCACGAGAATTGCTTGAACCCAGGAAGCGGAGGTTGCAGTGAGCCGAAATCACACCACTGAACTCCAGCCTGGGCGAAAAGAGCAAGACTCCATCTTAAAAAAAACAGAAAGAAACAGTTTACTAAACATAATGTATTCCCCCTTCCCTTTGAAAACACACACAGAAAACCATCTTGAGGAATTACAACAATTTTTAATTTCATCTTTTAATGTGCCAGTATTTTTATAATGTGCATACATTATTATGTAATAATTTTTTTTTTTTTTTTTTGAGACGGAGTTTCGCTCTTGTTACCCAGGCTGGAGTGCAATGGTGCGATCTCGGCTCACCGCAACCTCCGCCTCCTGGGTTCAGGCAATTCTCCTGCCTCAGCCTCCTGAGTAGCTGGGATTACAGGCACACGCCACCATGCCCGGCTAATTTTTTGTATTTTTAGTAGAGATGGGGTTTCACCGTGTTGACCAGGATGGTCTCGATCCCTTGACCTCGTGATCCACCCGCCTCTGCCTCCAAAGTGCTGGGATTACAGGCTTGAGCCACCGCGCCCGGCCTATGTAATAATTTTTAAGTAAGAAAATGTTCAGAAAAATTATTTTGTCTCTTCTATTTATGCATGTTAATTTCTCTCTCCCTTTTCAACTTATGCAGGAGATGAGAGGCTAGTACAAAGATTACAACTTTACAGAAGATGAATCTGAATGAATAGGAGAAATTACTTGCCTTTCATCCCGTTAATTGTAGGCCAAAACTTGGTTCTTTTTCATTAAACCGTCATCCTAGGTTTTTATGGAATCTTCCCACCCATAAGTAATCAAATATGTTAATGAAACAAATGTCAAAATGTATGTATGGATGCTGAAACCAACTAAATTGAACATTTCTTTCCTCTTTTCATGGGATCCTTTTATAATGTATTCACATCTTAGAAATATGTCATACTACCTTGATGTAAGCAATTACAATATGAAGAACATTTTATTTGCAAAGCTAGTTTATGTGTGTTATTAAATACTGCGGTGTATTAGAAAAGTTAAAGGTTGTCTAATTATGATAGGTAATCAACATAGCCTTTCCAGGCCTCAGGACATTTATCCTGAGGCCTGGAAAGGCTATGTTTTTCCTCAACAATTGGACCCACAAAGTAATACACAGTGTAAGAGCACTAGACTACCATGGAGTACTTTTGTTGAGAAACAACAAGAGATACACTTCTGAGGTAAATGACAGTGCCCAGCCATGTAGAGAAGAGTTGCTGATGCAAGCTAAGTGAGAATATCCTTTCACTTTAAGAACTTTCTAGTTTAGATTAGGCTCATTAAATCTGGATACTACTATTGGCTTTGTAGCACACAAATCAGAAATATCACATTACCTCTCAGCCACACAGAATCAGCCAATATGCCTAAGTACATTAACAAAGAGACTTCTAGAAGATTCTAGAAGCCCACTTTTAAAAGAACTAAGTCTGGCCGGCCACGTTCTTTCAAGAGTCACAGGCTCACTCACTACTACAGAGATTTCTCAGCCTAAAAATGTAGCTCTATCTTATTGTTCTGGTTTCTGATCTTTTAGAATATGGTAAGGACTAAAAGAATGTCCACCCTACCTCTCAGTTTTTTCTCTATAGGTTTATAGTTTGAGTCACTGAAGCCAAAGATTGCTCCTTAACCCCTACTCTGCTGAAGATGGAGAGTGGAATTTCTGTTCCTTTTCTGACAAAAGCCAGTATTTCTTGTGGCTTAATACAAAACCTTATAGAGACGAATTCATCGACTTCAGTTACTGTTTCGGCCTCCCACTGTGCATAAAAACCAGCAGAAGTTGTAAAGGTGGAAGAGTTTAAACAGTATTGAGGATTACCTTACCTATGCCCAGATATTGAAAATATAAACGTCCAAAACGTTTAAAATTTCAATACAAGAAATGGGTATATCTAGAAAAAAAATGGTTTTAAACCTAGAATTTTCTTTGTAAGAAATCAATGCATAGACTGCTTCAAGTGAGCTACTATTCAACATCTTTGCTATATTTTAAAGCTGTCCATAGAAGAAGAGTAAATGAGGCATTTATTTAAAGACTACTGGACACTGATCTTGTTTTAGTACAGTTGAGGTATTATATTTTGGACCATTCAGAACAGCCATAGTAATATGCCTAATTACCTTCCTGTAAAAAGTAATATAGTTTTTATACAGTTGGTTTCCTCACAAAATTACCAGTAACAGCAGCCTATAAGCAGCAGCTAGTTTTTCATATTTTAGAATTAATTATATTCTTTGCAACAAACTTCCCAGACCAGAGAAACAACGGAACATGTGGAAACATGTTTCCATGACATAACGCCGCTCTGCCTAAGCCTTTCATCAAGTGTTCGTAATAGAATCACTCCACAATCATGTTTATACGGGACAGCTGCCCTCGACTCCAACCATTCACTCTGCAGAAACACCCGTTCGGTCAGACCCAACCCCGCCGCATTCCAGCAACTGACGTAGTTACCAATGCACAGGCCAGTGACTTCCACCCGAGACTCTCCCTATCAATGCACCATTGAACTGGCCCTGGAAACCCGCTCCATTACCTCCAGTTCTCAAGGACACTAGGTTTTGTAAAACCCCAACATGCCTCACTGAGCACCCTTCGGAAAGAAAAACAAAAAGGCTTTCGGGGCCAGATGAACCTGCAATTCATCTCCGACGTGTGCAGCCTAAGCTGGCTTTTGACTTTTGTGAGAGAAAGCTGTCTGTCACCAGAGGGACGGGGAAAGGTGGGAGGGCAGGATGAAGAACTCTCGCGGGGCTGCTTGCCCGCGGCCGATAATCCCACGCAAACCTTATTAGAGGCAACCGCAGATCTTTCTCGATGTTCAGGACGCCAGGGCTGTTCCATAGCAACCCCTCTCTCGCAAGCAAAAGAGGCGTCGGGGGTCAGCGGCGCGAAGAGGCAAGGGGCGTGTGTGGGTACAGAAAAGAAAGCTGCGCAAACTAGTGTTGTCCCTCGTCCTTGAAGGAAAAGCAGCTTTGCGGGGCGAGGAGGTCCGACCGCCACCCGGCGGTCTCTAGGGACCGCGGTTGACTGGCTGCACCTGTCATCTCGGGGTTCGGGGCACATGAGGGGAAAATTCGAGGAAGCCAGCAGACAGGACAAACCTAAGGGCGGGATGGAAAACCGTTTCTTAGGGTTGACGTGATGCTCAGCAGAAGCACTTACGGGGTACACCTGTCACTGTACTCATTGGCGATGGTCTCGATGCCGCCACTCCTCGCAACAGCGATGTAGCAGTTGAGAAAGCCGAGGTCAATGCCAACCACAGACATCCCGCCGCGCGATGGTCGGGCTGCTGGTGCCGAACCCTTCGGTACGGGAACAGCGTCCTCTTCTGAGCTATTCCTGCTGGGATTGCGACTCCTACGAGAAGCAAACCAGAGGTGACCCCAAGCCGCGAAGCGGAAAATCTAGGACAGGGAGTCGGAAAGCCGCGGAAAGAGCAGAGGCCGCTGCGCAGCGTCCCGCCCCCCGGCTCTCTCCCTACTGCGGTTCGGCCGCCTCCGACCGGCAGTTACTGGGACCTGCGCCTGCGCGCTCCGCCGCCGGGGAGGCGCGCGAGCCTCCGCTCCGCGTCCGAGCCTGCTCGCGGCCCGGACTTCGGCCGCTTCCGTCAGCACTCGGGCAACGGCTGCCTGAGTAGCTGCGGGTTCGAGAAAGATCTGGAAAATGGAGGCTGCTGAGCCACCTCCGGGCGGGAGAATGGGGAAGGCGGGGCGGGGAGGATCCAGGAAAGGAGGAGGGGAGGCAGCGTGGGTTTGCGTGCCCTCGCGTGGCATCAGGACGTCGGGCGGTTGTGCTAGGTGAGAGGCAGGCTGCCGGCCGGCCCGGCGGTTTGCAAATGTGTTTTGAGGCACCCTTTTGGGTTGTTTTGGCAACCGGAGGCGTGCTTGTCACGGCGGCAGGATGCAGCCCAGGCTGGCGGACGCCGCCCGCTCACCCCCTACCCTCAGAAGGGCCCGCCCGCAGCCCGGCACCCACTCGCAGGCCTCGCCGCCCCTAGAGGCCCATGTGCTGCCCGGCGCGCTCCGCCCTGTGGCTCGAGGCCCGCCGCGACCGGCTCTGTGAGGTGGCGCCCATTGTGCGGCGCCCGCCGCCCCGCCCCGCCCCGGGGGCGCAGCCGAGCCCGGGCCAGCCTCTGGTGCGAAAGCAGAATGAGCACATTCTAGGCTTTTTTCTTTTTTTTCTTATGAGGTTTTGAAATACCAAAAGTCAAACTTATGTCAAGAAACAAGATCACACTGACAACTTTCCTTCCACGTACCTTTCCTCGCGCCATTCTAAAAGATGCTGGCCCTGCTACTGACCCTTGCCTCTGGAAACAAGTTTTACAGGAAAGTGAACTTAAGTCTGTGCCACTCACACCAGCCAAGTCTGTGCTCCAGCCTTCAGCCGCTGGCCTGTGGTCCTCAAAAAGCCCAGTGTGGTCCAGTGCCCTCCCTCTTCGTTTGATCGACATCTGTTGCCTGTCTGTAATTAACCAAGTTTTATGATACACTTACGAAGTTTGGCTGCCCTGTTCCTTTTCGTGCACTTTTATGTGTGTACCCTGTTCCTTCTCTCCCAGTCCTTGCTCTGTTCCTTGGTCCTCCTCGTCCTCTTCCTCTGGTCTCTGTTCCTTCTCATCCAATTCTTCGTGTGTTTCCTGTTCCATCTTGAAAATAGGCGTGGGTTTTTTGTTACGCTTTGTTTTGTTTTTACCAGATGCTTTAGTATTCTGATTATCCCTCGTTGTCCACTTCTTTAAGTAACTTAGATTTTTTAGTATTAATAATGCTGCTACAGCAGCAGCAGCAGCAAGGGTGGCTATAGCTCCTGCCGCTGTTAGGATGAACGTGAAATCCATTTTCAAAGGCAATACTGAGGCAACTGGATTGTCCAGTATTGCTTGCGTTCTGGTCTCTACATTGAAGAATCAATCAGGCCCCTCTTCCCTTCATGAGCACTCAGGAGACGTTGACCACCTGGGAGAAGCCGCCCTCTGAGACACCGCAGCGCGTAAGCAGAACAGTGATTGGGCGCTGCCACATCCCACACCCCCCCACCCCGCACTGAACCCTGGGTCCCGGTCCTGCTGGGCGCCTGTGGCTTCCACCAGTTCATCTCAGACGCCTCTTCTGACATCGCCATTTTGGGGCCACAGCTGTCTAGATTTATTCCAGAATATCCTGAAACGCTCCTAGTACAATGAATTTATCTAATTCCATTAGTTTATTCATGTTGTCCATATAACTTGAGGGTGTAAGAATTTTTTTCTATTAAAAATACCGCTTAAAATATCAAAGTCAAAAGAAGGTTGAGGCCAGGAGCAAAGTGGTGTTATCATCACGTTCCTTACAATTACTGGGAGGACGAGAGAGTACCTAGTGGTTAAAACCATGACTGGCTTTGGGGGTCACATAGATTTGGGTTGTAGTACCAGGCTTGCCTACTTTGCCATCTGTTAGAACCTTTGACAAGTTAACTCTTCAATCCGCAGGTTCAGTCTGTTAAAATGAGGACAAATATGCCTACTGGGCTGTTTTTATGATTAAATAATGTAAGCATAACATCAGTACCTGGCATCAAATGATCAATAAATGCTAGCTATGTTTAGCTGTTGTTACAATATAAAAATGATACTGATTTATGTATGTTGGTCATGTATCCAGCAACCTTGCTGAATTCTCTTATAAATTCTAGTATTTGCAGAGTTTCTTGGATTTTCTGTGTATAGAACCATATGACCTGGGAAATAATGAATTTCTTCATTTTTATTTCCTATTGTTTTGTCTGGATTATGTTGCTTGAGTGCTCTAGTAAAATTTTGAAAATAAACAGTGGTGGTAAGCATCCTTGTCTTGTCCCTAACATTAAATACCTTTGTGTTTATGATGTGAGAAAGTTAACAAAATTATCTTCTATTCCTACTTTGCTAAGAGATTTTCTCATAAGTGGATACTGAAACTTAAATGTTAACCATCATCTAATGACCTTTTTGTTGCTCTTTAATTTGTTAATGCAATGAATAATGTTACTAGAGTTTTTTAACATCCTTGTATCCCTGGGATAAACCAGAAAGGCCATGATGGTTCTGATTGTTTTGGCTTATTTTATGTAGGGTATTTACATCTATATTCATAAATGAAACTGGCCTTTAATTTTTCTTTCTTTACTGTTTTTATTGGCATCAAGATTATAGCCTTATAGAAGCAGCCAAAAGGGTTGCCTCTTTTTTGTTCCTTTCTAATAGTTTTGGTAAGAAAAGTCTGTAAATGGGCCAAGGGGCAATGGCTCAAGCCTGTAATCCCGGCAGTTTGGGAGGGCAAAGACGACAGATCACCTGAGGTCTGGAGTTTGAGACCAGCCTGACCAACATGGAGAAACCCTATCTCTACTAAAAATACAAAATTAGCCGGGTGTGGTGGCACATGCCTGTAATCCTAGCTACTTGAGAGGCAACATGAGCAAAACTCCTTCTCAAAGAAAAGAAAGCCTGTAAACCATCTTAGCCTAAAGTTTATGAGGTTTATGATGAATGATTAAATTTCTTTAGTGGTTATGGTCTATATTTTCTATTCTTGAATCATTATTGGTTATTTATATTTTTTTTGAAAATTTACCATTTCATCTAGGTTTTCAAGTTTGTTGGCACAAATCTGATTATTCACTTAAAAAAATCTCTTCAGTAATATGTACATCTTTTTCATTCTTAATATTGTTTATTTTTATCTCTTCCTTTTCTTGGTTCCTGTCAGTATGGTTTGTTAAAACATTCAGCTTTTGTTTTTCTTGCTCACCTTATTTCTTTGTTTTCTGTTCCATCTGCTGTTTGTTTCACTCTATATTTTTGTTTCTTCTTTTTCTAGTTCATTTTCAGTTTTTTGTTTTGTAATACATACACTTGAAGCCATAAATTTCCTTCTATATACCATTTTAGCTACATTCCTACTAGAATTTTCAAAGAATTGAAGTTGGAGAGTAGACAACAGGGATAAAAATGAAAGTCAGTGGTCACTGGTCTTGTTGTCTAAGGTGTTATCCAAGTTCGTTGTCTCATGACCAAGAGAATTAAGAAGCATGGCTGCAAAGGGTGAGGTTAGAGTGAAAGTTTAATAAGTGAAAGAAGAAAGCTCTCCACAGTGGAGAGGGGAGCCCTAGTGGGTTGCTGTTTTTGCAGTTGAATTCAAAAGCTTTTATAAGAAACTCATCTCATCTCTGTAGCTGTTTGAGTAATTTATCAGTAAAACTGTCTATGCAACTCCCTTTATCTTATGTAGTTGTGGGTGTGTCTCTAGGCAAACACAAAGTGCCACTACTCTTGTTTGTATATCTCTGTGCTTAATTTAGGTAAGCCCTGCTTTTTCCGGGGCAAGTTCCCATGGAGTCCACTGTGTACATGTATGAAAAGGGGAGGACGCTTTTTCCTGGGAGCCTGCCAATCACACAAAGAAACAAAGGCTCCTGTGCTGGACCCTGCCTATCTGTGCAGGTGCAGCCTGAGTTTTACAGGCTGCTCTATTTTTACCTATAGGTGTGATTTTGTAGGGAGGCTGCTTCTCCGAGAACTAGCCTTAGCTGTGTACCTAACGTTAACATTAGAGAAATGTCTTAGGTGCCTATAAGCTTGTTAATTATTGCACCCCAGAATTAAGTAGACTTATCTATCTAGTTACAGTAATAGATACTAATGTCACATTGGGGTCTTCTTTCATAAATTTGTATCAAGGAGCAAGAGAGAAGAATGTGTGTAGGCTCCCAAGAAAAGTGAGAAAGGCTAAATTATTCTGAAATTTATTAAGGTAAGTCACTCCTTGCACCAATAAGTATGTATTTTTCCATTTACAGGCAATGTTTTATTTAGATCTACTAACATGTCTACCAATTTCTTTATTTTGTTGCTGCTTGCATTCAACTGGACTTCCTCCTGAGTTCAGTTTCCTTTCAGCAAAGGCAGGTGTCCCCAATCCCAAGTGGCCAACTGGTCAGTGGCCTATTATGAACTGGGGACACAGCAGTTCAGCAGAGGGCAGTCAAGCTTTACCACTTGAGCTCCGCCTCCTGTCAGGTGGCATTAGATTCTCATAGGAATGTGAACCCTGTTGTGAACTGCACATGCAAGGGATCTAAGTTTCATGCTCCTTATGAGAATCTAATGTCTGATGATCTGAGGTGGAACAGATTCATAACGAACACCCTTCCCCCATTTATGGAAAAACTCTCTTCCATGAAACTGGTCCCTCATAATGAAAAGTTTGGGGATTGCTAAGCAAAGATCTCTGAATGGTGAACTATTTTTGTTTTGTTTGAAAATATTACTGTCATGGAACTGTTTAATAACTTAGCTTAGTGTAGAAATTTTGAAAGTATTTTCCCATATCTTTTGTCATCCATTATTGAGTATAATGTTCCTTTCTAAGTCATGAGTTTGTCTTTTCTTTGACATTTTGCAATTTTTTTATGATGTCTTTAATTGTAGATTTGCTTTTATTTATTCACTCAGCATTTTTTGTTAACCTGAAGACAAATGGAT